GAGAAAACTAAAGAATAAAATGACCTCCTCAAGGCATGTAACTGGAGATCATCTTAGTTGGGATCAGCTTTAGTTTAGCAAACCCTGTGTAGGCCGTTCATCACTGATTCAGCTTCCATCACCCGTCTGCTCATAACTCAGTGTCCAGTTCAGGTTCCCATACCACCTCAAAAATCTCAGATGAGGGCTGGGAAGGTGGCTCAGTGGTAGAGCGCTTGCCTTGCATGCCCAAGGCCCTGGGTTCGATTCCTCAGCACCACATAAGAAAAAAGAAAAAAGCCGGAAGTGGCGCTGTGGCTCAAGTGGTAGAGCGCTAGCCTTGAGCTGAAGGGCTGAGGGACAGCGCCCAGGCCCAGAGTTCAGGCCCCACAACCGAACCCAAAAAAAAAATCTCGGATGACACAGGTGACCCAGTTCACCACTGCTTGTATCCACACTCAATGCCCTGGGCATGCCCTTCCCCTCCATGCTGCTCAGGAGACTATATGGGGTGTTCTGGTTATCTTGAAATACATGATAAATTATGGCTTAGTTACCCTAATTGCTATATAGAACACTAAAACTTGTTGAGGAAGTGGCTCAAGTGGTAGAGCAATTGTAAGAGCGAGGTCTCTAGTTCAAACCCAAGGACAGGACTTACCCAACAGAAAACCCAAAAATTAAAAAAAAAATTAGATCTTACTTTCAATGACTCCACTTTTCTTCTGCTATATGTGTGCATGTGCATACATGCAGTGTGCGTCAGTACAGGGGTTTGAACTCCACCTGGGTAAGGTAGCTTTCATTCTACCAATTGAGCTACACCTCCACTTCCAGCTTTTTGGTGGTTAACTGGAGATAAGAATCTGACTATTCTGTTTGGCTGTCTTCAAACCCCAATCCTCAGAACTCAGCCTCTCATTTCATAGCTACTGCAAGCCTTTTCACACATAATTTTGCTTTTTTTTTTAGTTTGTTCAGGAAATCTGCTGTTACTCTATGGGCTTGGGTTGTATACAACTTGTCTCTTCTTTGCAGTTTTCAATGTTCTCTACTGTTTTGGGCAGTACAGCAGTTTGAACTCAGGGCCTCACAGTTGCTAGGCTGGTACTCTACTACTGAGCCACAACTCCCTCACTTCTTTGCTTTGTGTACTTAGTTTTAACTATAATGGGTCTAGGGGTGTTTCTTTTGATTCTCCATGCTTGGTGTTCTGTCAGCCTCCTCCACATGGATGACCTTGAGATTAGGCAAGTTTCTGCTGTTATTTTTTTTGAACAGGTTTTTTTTTTTTTTTTGCCAGTCATGGTGCCTGAACTCTTCAGCTCAAGGCTAGCGCTCTACCACTTGAGCCACAGCACTACTTCCAGCTTTTTCTGCTTATGTGGTGCTGAGGAATCGAATCGAGGGCCTCATGCATGCAAGGCAAGCACTCTATCACTGAGCCACCTTCCCAGCCCCTCGAACAGGTTCTTAATGCCTTTACATCATCATCTTTCTTCTTCTCTTCTCCCCCTCTTCACTTCCCCCCCTTCCTTGTCCATTATCCGTAGCTTTGGTCTCTTGATGAAGTTTTATTTTATGTTCTAAATGTTTTCCAATGTCTCTGTTTGAGCTAATTCTACCACTTCCTCGTTGGTCCCCGATACCTTATTTTTGACTTATTAGCTAGGCATTGGTCAAATTTTTATTTGAGGTTGAGCAGTTCATTTCCAGGATTTCATTTCAGTCAGGCTCTCTATATCAATGAATTCTTCTCACACTCTACAATGTCTTCTTTATTGCTTTCAGTTCCTTGTTGGCATGCATTTCCCTTGAATTCATTCTGCTGCTATACATCCACCCCTTAATATTACATTTACATTCAATCATTTAAATGAAAATTGGAGCTGGGCGCCAATGGCCTCTTAGCTATCAAGAGGCTGAGATCTGAGGATCACAGTTCAAAGCCAGCCCAGATAGGAAAGTCTGTGAGACTTCATTAACCACCAGAAAATCAGAAATGCCACTGTAGCTCACAGTGGTAGAGCACTAGCCTTGAGCAGAAAAGCTCAGGGACAGCGCTCAGACGCTGAGTTCAAGCCCCACAACTGACAAAAAAAAAAAAAAAAAAGGTTATTTGCAATGTCTTCCTCTTCATTGTCGCTTAGGTCCTTTGCTATGGAGTTTTTGGCCTTTAAGAGCCATGCTGCTTCGTCAGTTCATGAATTTAGTGATTTTTCACAGGGATTTATATACACAGGACCAAGAGCTGGCGGGGATTTCAATCTCCCATGTCCTTTTAGCTGCTGATTTACTGAAGTTTCCTTAAGATTGGGTGATGGCTGGGTTGTTAGACTAGAGAGGTATGTTGCTTTAAAAATCCAGTTCAATGCTCAGGATACTGTGGAATTCTTTTCCACTCAGAGTATAGATGCTTGGCTACAAACGCTATGGTAGTTGACAAACTATAACCTATGTTTGTGGCAATCCTAGTGAAGACTGGTCACTACTACTGATCCACTATCTGTAGATGAATATAGAAGCAAAAATGGATCTTTATGCTCTAATAAGATTTTAGTTAACCAGCGTGATAACAGGAAGGAGACATGGGGGTAACAGTAATCTGGTTATTAGGAAAGGAAGGGGCGGAAACTAAGCTTGATACAAGAGGTTAGTGGGAAAGTAGAGAGAAGTAAAGATTATTAACATTTTACTGATATTAAGGAGAAGAAGAAATTAAGTCTGAATAAACATGAACAAAACACTAAAACCAAACCAGCTAACACAAAACAAAATAATCAGCCATACAGTATTACTTTTCTTCAGCTTGACATTCCTTTTTTTATTGTTTTGTCAGTCCTGGGGTTTAAACTCGGGGTCTGGACAATATCCTTGAGCTTCTTTGTGCTCAAAGATAGCACTCTACCAGTTGGACTAAGAGCTACTTCCAGCTTTTTCTGAGTAGTTTACTGGAAATGAGTCTCACAGAGTGGGGGGGGGGGGGGGGGGGGCGCCGGTGGCCCATGCCTATAATCCTACTCAGGAGACTGAGATCTGAAGACTGCAGTTCAAAGCCCGGGCAAGAAAGGCCATGAGACTCTTATCTCTAATAAACCACCAGAAAACTGGAAATGGTGTTATAGGCTCAAGTGGTAGAGTGTTAGCCTTGAGCTGAAGAGCTGAGGGACAGCGCCCAGCCCCAGAGTTCAAGCTCCATGACCAACCAAAAAAAAAAAAAAGTCTCATGGATTTTCCTGCCAAGGCTGGCTTCAAACTGTGATCCTCAGATCTCAGCCTCCTGAATAGCTAGGATTACAGGCATGAGCCACCAGTGCCCAGCCATTTCTTTAACCTTTCTTCTTGGGATTTTAAACTTATTTATTCAGAATACATGCATTTGAGGCAGGGTCTTGCTATATAGCCTGGGCTGATCTTTTTTGGTGGTGGTGGTAGTCATAGGGCTTGAACTCATGCCCTCGATGCTGTCCTTGAACTCTTTTTGCACAAGACTACCACTTTTTGTTCTACTTCCCATTTTCTGGTGGTTAACTGGAGATAAAGAGTCTCATGGGCTTTCCTGCCTGGGCTAGTTTTGAACCATTATCCTCAGATCTCAGTAGCTAGAATTACAGGTGTGAGCCACAAAAGCCCAGCTCTGGACTGGTCTTGAACTTACCATCCTTTCAAGCACTAGGGTTACAGTTGTGAACCAGTATGTCTAGTTTTCCCTTAACATTCCCTGACTCAGGTATACTAGTAACCAGCCCTTGAATGTCTGAGAAATGTCTCACCTCCTGTGAAGGACACCTGTGGTGACTCCCAGAACTTACTGTCCGTCCCCCACATTTGCTCCAAGGCACCTGGGCTTCCACAGCGTGGGGACAAGTCACCATGCTTTTTTTTTTGTCTACCTGTAATGTGTTCTTTTCCTTTGACGGCTTTTGAAGAATTTTCTATTTATGATTTTGAACAAATAGGTTACGATGTGCCTTGGTAGAGTTTTCTAGTGTTTACAGTTCATTGAGCTTCTTGAACTTGTAGAGTTATGATTTTCATCGATTAAAAATTTTAAACAGGAAGCACTGGCCTAGTGAGTGCACTATCTTGGGTTTGCTCCCCAGTACCAAAAAAGACAAAAAAATAGTTCCGCTTCTCAAATGGTACTTACACTTACTCAAGCTTTCCTGCTCCTTGCCTGCAACTCATTGATACTATGTTCATAATTATCGTAATTTTTCTGATTTTATTTTGGAAAGTTAGTGTTAAGTTCAGTTTTTCTCCCTCTGATGTTGTTAATCCCACTACATGTATCTTCATCTCAGACACTAATTTTCAACTCTAGAAGTTTCCAAGAGTCTAATTAATATGCTTAGCATTTCCTATACTTTATTTTCTTTCTTCCTTTCTGCCTCTCTGCACCCTGCTCTCTCTTCTCCTCCTTTCCTTCCCTCTCTCTTGTCCCTTATTCCCACCCCAGGCTCTAGCTGTTTAGGCCGGGTTTGTCCTGGGACCGCTCCTCCGGCCCGTCTCCCGAGGGATTACCGGCATGCACTTCTCTCCCTGGCTTGCGTTTCCTATACCTTTTCCACTAAACCTAGAACGTGGCCATGGTAACCATCTCTCTTGTCTAGTTCTCTGTTCGTTCCTGGTTTGTTCAGTTGACAGTTTTCCTCATCACTACGTGTCATGTGCTCCGTGCTCGACACCGCGCTCAGCTCACGGACCATTTTTATTTCATTACAAACGACTCCTTTCCTGCAAGTCTGAAGCGCAGCTTCAGTTCACACTCAGTCTAGACGGGGCGCCGCCTCTGGCCCAGCACTCGCAGGGTTCGCGGGCGGGCTGTGCGCACGGTGGGGTGGGGTGGGGTGGGGTGGGGCGGGGCGGGGCGGGGCGGGGCGGGGCGGGGCGGGGCCGGGCTGCACAGGGCCACGGGCTGTGCGCGGGGCGGGGCGGGGCGGGGCCGGGCTGCACTGGGCCACGGGCTGTGCGCGGGGCGGGGCGGGGCCGGGCTGCACTGGGCCACGGGCTGTGTGCACGGCGGGGCGGGGCCGGGCTGCCTGCGGGGCGGGGCCGGGCTGCCTGCGTCTGCGGCCCCCAGGGCCCCAGGGTGAGCCCGCCTAGTCCCGCAAGGGAAGGCTGGCCAGTGTGCAGAGGAGCGCACCTCCTTTCAGGGCTCATTAACTGGGGACCAAGAAAACGGGGTGACGTTGTAAAAAAAGAAGGCGCTGTGCCGGTACCTGACGGAGGGGCTGGAAGCCTTCGGTCCGCCACCGCCACCCTCGCAGTGAAGCCTAGGAAGGGGCGTCGCGGGCCGCTCGGCCTCCCCTGACAGGCTGGGGAAGCTGGCCCGGCGAACCCCTGGCCAGGGCCCAGAGGGGTTGGGGGAGGCGTGGGCAGGCCCCGCCCCGTGGAGGGGTCCAAGCCCTTCCAACTACCGGTCATCACGGGGCAGCGCCCGCCCGCCGCGGCTCCGTGAGCGAGGGCGCGCGGGTGGGCAGGCGGAGGCGAGGCCGCCGCTGCGGGTCACACGGGCCCGGGCCGGGCGGGCTCGGTGCGGCACAGCCGGAGCGGGAAGTTCTCGGTGATGAGGTGGTCGGCGTGGAGCAGCACCACGACGTTCACCTCGAACTCTGCGGGGGAGACGAGGGCTCGTGGGCACGCGAGGCCCCGCCGCGGGGGACCCCCGGGGTCACTCCCGGACCCGGGCAGACGCGGGGGCCGACGGCCGCTTACCCACTTTGAAGTTGGTGGTCTCGAGCGTGGGGCAGGTGAAGAGCCGCGGGAAGACCATGTGGACGGGCACCGGCAGGCCCCGGCACACGTCGCCCTCGGCGATCTGGATGTTCTGGATCTCCGTGGCGTCGCGCGCGTAGCCTTCCGCGCAGCCTGCGGGGGAGCAGATTCCAGAAAGTTCCTCCACCCCCTCTCCCCGACTTCATGGCCCGGGTTTTAATGTGCCCCCACATTGCCCTTAATCCCCACGTCAACGAAGTGGGGACCCTAGGCCTGCGGAGTGGGCTGGGCGGAGGAAGCCCGAGCCGTGACACACCGCGCCGGTCTGAGCCAAGGCCCCGCATCGCTGCTCGGCGGCCCGGCCTCGGGTCCCCGGCCTCCGGCGGCCCGGCCTGGCGTCCTGTGAAGGCCTGCTGCAGTGTGCCCTTCGCCCGGCCCGCGACAGCCCAGCTACCCATATCCGGCCAGTAAAGGCGGAGGGAGGATGGAGGAAACTCAGGAGTTGGGGGTCTGTCCCAGGCGCCATTGCTCTTGGCAACACTTAGGTGTCTAGAGTAATCCTCCTCCTCTGCAGTCAGGTGGACAGAGCGGGCAGGCATGCCAACGGCCTGTCTACGGTATGTCACCAGCCTCGGTGGCCAGGCTGGTGGGCTGCAGAGGGGCAGCTCTGACACGGCGGCCTCTCGGGCGCCCGTCCTCTCCCTTCCGTCCCCACCATCGCACAGTGCAGCACCCCTTGCCGTCCCCCACCAGATGTCAGCACTGTGCACGTCACCTTCTCAAAACCAGAACCGAGCCAAATAAACCTGTTACTGAGGACTGGCTCTTAGGCATCTTGGTGACGCGCATATTTACTGCAAAGGACACCCAGCCTCCAGGCCCCCCCCCCCCAGCCCCAAGCGGCCTCACCGCAGGTCTCCACGCGGACCAGCTGCAGCTCAATGCTGCGGACCGCAGCATCCGAGTGCTCCACCACCAGCTCGCCCGTCAGCGGCTGTGTGATGGCGCAGCTGGTGGAGTTCAGATGTCCTCTAATGAGGAATCTGGGGAGCGAGGCTCTCTAGAACGAGAAAAGCAAAGACATCAGGCCTGGAGGAGAAAGGAGAAATTGCTCCATAATTACTCTGGAATAAATCAATACTATGAAATCTGGCACTTAGTTTCTTCTTGTTGTTGGTCATGGGGCTTGAACTCTGGGCCTGGGTGCTGTCCTTCTGCTCTTCAACTCAAGGTGAGCGCTCTACCACTGGAGCCACAGCACCACTTCTGGTTTTCTGGTGGTTCATTGGATATAAGAGTCTCACAGACTTTCCTGCCGGGGCTGGCTTTGAACCACAATCCTCAGATCTCAGCCTCCTGAGTAGCTAGGATTACAGGTGTGAGCCATCAGCACCCGGCTGGCACTTAAGACAATCCAATAGGACTCTGTTCTGCAAAATGGTGATGTATCAATGAGATTTCAGGTGAAGACACTGAGTCATCTACCTGTAGACACCGTGTTATCCATCTGTAAGGCACCTCTGGACATGACCCACGGGGAGGGGGGGGGGGCGCAGATGACTCGGAGAATCACCCCAGCATCTCCATTCCAATCAGAAAGCTCCACCCACCAGGCAAAAAGACAGAGTGTAAGAAGTCTGAGAAGGGGGCTAGGAAGGTGGCTCAGTGGTAGAGCGCTTGCCTTGCATGCATGAGGCCCTGGGTTCGATTCCTCAGCACCACATAAGCAAAAAGATAAAAGCCGGAAGTGGCACTGTGGCTCAAGTGGTAGAGTGCGAGCCTTGAGCTGAAGAGCTGAGGGACAGCGCTCAGGCCCAGAGCTCAGGCCCCATGACCGGACCCAAAAAAAAAAAAAAAAAACAGGTCTGAGAAGTTGTCAAGGGTATTCCAGAACAAAGGACAACTAGCCACCAAAATAAATAAATATTGAAAAAACGTGTGCGTGTGTGTGTGTGTGTGCGTGTGTGTGTGTGTGCGTGTGTGTTGCCACATACATACATATGTGGCCACACTGAAAGTAAAGGGGCAGCTGGAAACAGGCAGTGCCACAGGTCAAGGCCCACAATGCTGGAAAACAAGGAAGGCAGTACAGAGTCAGGATCAAACTGTGCATGGTGGGTTATGCCTGTAGTTCCAGCATTTGAGAAGTGGAGGTGGAAAGATCTCTGAAGACCAGTTCAGGCTAGCCTGGGCAGCACAGCCAGGCCCATGTCAAAAACCAAACATGGAGAATCATAAGCACCTTTAAAAGTATTCTTCTTCCAAGCCATTCGTGAGTTCAGCATGAAAGGCAACCGCCAGTTTGGATAGGACAACAGTTAGGATCAACCTCCCCTCTAACGACCTGAACCAGCCAAAGGTCGCCGGGCCGGCGGCGGTCGTGGTGGAGGTGCACGGCAGTGTGAGGAGCGGTTACCTCCTTGACATTCTGCAAGGTTTCCGGTGTGATGGTGAAGTCCACAGGACTCGGAGTCAGCTTCCCCTTCTGAGGCTAAACAGGAGGGAAACCACAAGCTTGGGGTGAGTGCCCAGGGGCCCGCAGCTGAGAGGCGGCACAGAGAGAGAGCCTAAGGGGGCTGGGGAAGGGCAGGGGACAACTCAGATCTGCCCTTGGTCGGCATCTCCTGTTTCCCCTTTCCTCATCTACAAACTGCATGGACATATGTCTACATCTCCGAGGGAACTTATGGGCTCCGAGTTTTCTTTTTTTTTTTTTGCCAGTCATGGGGCCTGAACTCTGGGCCTGGGCGCTGTCCCTCAGCTCTTCAGCTCAAGGCTAGCTCTCTACCACTTGAGCCAGAGCGCCACTTCCGGCTTTTTCTGCTTATGTGGTGCTGAGGAATCGAACCCAGGACCTCAGGTATGCAAGGCAAGCTCTTTACCACTGAGCCATCTTCCCAGCCCCTGGGCTCCGAGTTTTCAAGTTAGACCCAAGGAAGAGAGCAGAACTTCTGGGAGGTACAGTATCTGAGTTGGCATATGGCTGTCACATCTCTCTGATGGCCACCCCTCAGTAAGAAACTGAGGCACAAAGCTCAAGGCCTTGTTTGCTGAGTGGCCCCACTGAGAATGTGGCCAGGGCGGTGCAGGGCGAGTAGGCTACAATGCTGTCTGCCTGAAGAGTCACTAGAGAATGAACGACAGGCATTATCCAAATCAACCACACCGTCCACTGCGGAATCCTGATGCCCGGTGGCGGTTCCAACCCAGGGCCCAGGATTCAAGGGGCCATCCAGACCCAGGGAGCAGGTGGAGGAAGGGCTCGCCCAGTGTGCCACGTTCACTCATTTTCCATGGGCTGATATTCCAAGCCGGAACATCATTCCGGAGTAAGCAGTGCACTTATGAATGCATTCTTAGTGAGAATAATCTTCCTGTTTAACTTGTAAACCACACTGCAGAGTGCTTTGGCATTAGTACCTACCTAAGCCTACAGGTATGAGCCACCTAGCACCTGGCTAGAAATGGCATTTTTAAGAACACCTGTGACTGTAAAATGATGTCAGGAAAGTCCACCACAGCCTGGAGCGTACCTACGTGTTCTCACCGGCAAGAGTGCCAGGGTGGCAGGCCTTGAGCACGCCTCACAAGGGCCATATGCCCTAGCACCTCGGGGCCTGAGGCGATGTGGCGCTCTGGGGGCAAAGCAGGCCGGGCTTCGGCTACTGGCCTCAGGTGAAACACAAACCGCACAGGCGGGCATCCACCGAGCACGGCAGTCCTATCTCTGCTGACACCCGAGAGATGGCAGGGACTTTGGCTAGCTTGGAACCCAGGCATGGTGCATCCCAGACCCCACCCAGAGCCCAAGACAAAGCTTACAGTGGAATGGACGATGAATTCACAGGTCTTGGTCAGGTCCTTGGCCAGCAGAGACCGCTTCATGTCACAGCGCAGGGTGTACTGGGGAGAGGGAGACAGGGGGAGAGGGTAGCGTGGGGGGGGCCCTCTGTCCAGCTCCACACCAAACTTTCCCAGTGAATTACTGTGTTACACGAAATTAGTACACACAATGGGAGAAGTTAATGTTCAAAATAAAGGCATTTGGCGGGGAAGGTGGCTCAGTGGTAGAGCGCTTGCCTTGCATGCCTGAGGCCCTGGGTTCCATTCCTCAGCACCACATAAGCAGAAAAAGCCAGAAGTAGCGCTGTGGCTCAAGTGGTAGCATGCTAACTTTGAGCTGAAGAGCTCAGGGACAGAACCCAGGCCTAGAATTCAGGCCCCACAACTGACAAAACAAAAAGTCTCTTTACTATTATTCTTCAGGCTATTCCCACAGGCATCCTGAAGCTGTATCTTCTGCAGCTCACCGTGAGGCCAGACACACAACCTGCATCTCCGTTCTGCCATCTGCACCTGGGGCTCCCAGGCTGCAGGAGGTGCCCCGACTGGCCTCGACCCAGGGAACTGCAGCACTTGCTCTACACACACACACACACACACACACACACACACACACACACACACACGGTAGAGAGGAATGAAGAAGGGAAAACCACTTTTTTTTTAAGTCCAAGATCTGCAAAGGTAAATAGTAGAGAAGCCCACACCCACAGCCACCTCCAGCCAGCTCAGTGCACCTGTCCCACCCCGCCCCCAACCAAGACCCAGACAGCATCTGCATCTGAGGCAGAACGTGGCGTGGCGTGGCACAGCTCGGCATGGGACTGCTGGTGCGCCTGTGGTGGACGGGAGGGCGGCAAATGCGCACTTCCACGAGAGCACGCGCCAGGGCTGGAAACCAAGTTAACACAGCCCGGAACTGGAACCACACATTCTTGCCCTTGAGGAAGGATGCTTGCGAACAAAATTCTGCGCCCTCATCAGTGACCTAACACCAGATTTGCGAAAGTAATAACAGGGAGCTCAGGATGTGAATACATGCGCAAAATCCGGGAGCTCAGGGTGCGGCTCAGTGGTCCACACAAGGCCCTGGTCCAGCCCAGCACAGAAACAAAACAAAAAGCTCTCGCAAGCTGGGCGCCAGTGGCTCACGCCCATAATCCTAGCTACTCAGGAGGCTGAGACTTGAGGATCACGGTTCAAAGCCAGCCCGGGCAGGAAATTCCATGAGACTCTTATCTCCAATAAACCACTAGAAGACCGGAAGTGGTGCTGTGGCTCAAATGGTAGAGCGCTTGCCTTGAGCTGAAGAGTGCAGGGACAGTGTTCAGACCTAGAGTTCAAGCCCCATGACCAACCAAAAAAAAAAAAACTCTCGCATCTGCTTAATGAGATCTCATGTTTAAAGTCAGCTGTTGCCTTAGTCATCCAGAAAAAAACTTTAGATTACATCAAAAGTAATTTTTATACCTGGGACTATATGCATAGTCGTGAATCTTCTAAGAAGCTACATTCCTATGAACAACCTATCCACATGAAATAAGTTCCTATATATTTAAGGTACTGCTGGGAGCTGAAATATTTTCCTAAGGATCACTCTTGTCTACAAGGATCTTAGTGGTTATATATCTGCACATAGGCATGGATGCCTCCCCCTAATGAGATTTCAATCCAGTGTACATCCAGACTTGCTCGGTGAAAGCGTGGTGGTGGTGGTGGTGGTGGTGGTGGTGGTGGTGTATGTGTGTGTGGTGTGTGTGTTGTATATATTGCTCGGTGAAAGCTGGTGCTGTGTGTGTGTGTGCGCGCGCGTGTGTTGTATATATTCCTCACACAGTGTAGCACACACATTCTGCTCAGGCTTGCCTGGTCTTTCCTGTTCTTCTCCCAGAGGAACCCCCCTTCTTACTATTAGGTTCAGGACTGGACAGGTGATTTCCCTGGGCAGCGGGAAACCAGAACTGCACCACGGAGCTCAGGAGAGAATTCTGTCTAGCTGAGTTTGGTGGTACAGTAGATGGCAGCCCAGCCACCTGAGGCAAAGCCAGCACAGCAGAGAATGGCTGAACCAGTCTGATCCCCTGGGGTTGCTGGTTCTACGACCCCAGGGCCCTGGTTTGCCAAAGCCCATCAAGATGGATCCATGCCTTGTGAACAGAAGGGGGGATGCACAGGCATCGGCTTTGGCCGATAGGAAGACAGTGATTAGTAATTCAAGGGAGCGATGAGCAGAGCAAGGGGAAGTGGAGGAACACACACCTCTCGTGCTGCAGGATGGCGTCTGGACAGTTCTGTATCCACTAGCTGAGCCCTGGTTTGCGGAAGTCAGTGTGAGCTGGGTTGTGTGCTTGTGAATGGAGGGGTATGAACAGTGATGGAAGAACTTCTACGAGGCGAGCAGGACAGCTGTCCTATCTCCCGTACTCAGCATGAGCAGTCCACAGCCTAGTCCTGTGCCCAGCTAGCTCTTCACACCACTCCTCACTCATTCCCTAGAGGTAAGTGCAGGAAGCTGCTAGGGGTTCACAAAGGTGGGATGTGGATTCATTTATTTTCATTTATGTATTTATTTATTTATGGTTTGTGGAACTTGAACTCAGAGCCTGGGTGCTATCCCTGAGCTCTGTTGCTCAAGGCTAGCACTTTTCCACTTGGAGCCACAGTTCCACCTCCAGTTTTTAGGTGGTTAACTGGAGATAAGAGGCTCACAGACTTTCCTGCTGGGGCTGGCTCTGAACCACAATCCTCAGATCTCAACCACCCGGGTAGCTAGGACTACAAGCATGAGCCACCGTGCATTTATACAGCAGGGCATACCTATCCAGCTCTCTCACTCCCTCACCTAGTCCAAGGAGTGAGGGTAGTGGTGTGAGCAATGGAGGTCAAGGGCAGCCAGAAGGCATCTCACAGGAAGCATCTGCAGGATGGATGGGCCTGGGGGGGTGGGGAGGGGAGGGGTCTGACTATCAATACACAGGCATTGGTGGCAAAAGAGGAAGCTACCTGTCAGGTGTAAAGCAGGCTCCTATCAAGGGCACTTCTAACTGGGAAGATGGTGTAGAGTCTCTAGAAACTTCTGACTATGTGATTTCAGCACACATGGGGGCTATTGCTATTATGCTTTGCTATAGTATAAAACCCTGCTAAGATGGTCATAAGAGTAGAACATAATGCAACTTGCTCATAATTTAAATGATTCTGAAAAGAAAAAGAGGTTGCAGAAAGCACAACCAGCAAAGACTGACAAATTCTCATAGGCAATCCTAATAACGAAGATGAAAACTGTTTGTGCCTAGGAGGAGCCAGAGCTACCAGTCCTCCCCCAACGTCCCCTGAGAAACAGCAAGCAAGCAAGCAAAGTGAGCCAGTGTCCTGCCAGCACTCAGGAGCATCCCGGGCCAGCCTGAGTTTCATAGTGAGTTCCAGACTGTTTCAAAACAAAACAGAAATAGAGCAAAGCCGGTTCCAGCTGCAACATTCTGAGTTAACCCTGTGCTAACAAAACACGCAGGTGGGCGCCAAAGGAATCAGCACATTCCAACTCCCTAAGAAATGGTTCTTAGACGACACAGCATTTTGCGCATGCCTGTCTGCAAGTGTATTCCTGGAACATTTAGAAAACAATGAGATTTCAATTTAACTTTAAACAAACCAATGACTTTTCCTAAAAGATGATTAAAGAAAAAAAAGGGAGAGGAACAAGTACAATAGTAAAAGCTTGATTTTATTCCATTCATGCCTAATGAATATACCCTTTCACTAAAAGCCAATGATGCTGATCCTAGATAGGTAACAAAAATTGTTTTCCAGCCAGGCCCAGTGGCTCACACCTGTAATCCCAGCTACTCAGGAGGTTGAGATGTGAGGATCATGGTTCAAAGCCAGCGTGGGCAAGAAACTCTTATCTGTAGTTAACCAAAAAAAGCTGGAAGTGGAGCTGTGGCTCAAGTGGTAGAGCACCAGTGTTGAGCATAAAAGTTCAGGGACAGTACCCAGGTTCCAAGTTCAAACACCCTAGACCAGCACAAAAATAAATACATAAGCTAACAAACCAATGTTTTTCCACAAGACACAACTTACTTTCAGCCTTGCTATTTTCTTCTCTACTTCCTACCATGGTGCAAGCATTCCTGGCCTAGCAAGCTGACCAGAACTCCCACCAACGTACCAGCAATGGGCATCTAGCTGTCTGCACACAAGTACTCTTGCTGACTCTAGAAACTTCTCTAATCAGTATTGTTATTCTTAAGACTCGTATGTGTGTGTGTGTGTGTGTGTGTGTGTGTGTGTGTGTGTACCTGACACAGGTGTACTAATAAAGGACTAGAACATGTCTTTTTTTCACAGGAAGACACTTCTACAGCTTCGCACCAATCTCTGCCGTGGCTCCTGGGACTTGTAGTGGGACCCGTGGCTGCGTCCTCCCCAGCACTTCCAGGTCTTGCACTGATAACGTGTCCTTCCACAAGCAGGAGCATCTACCAAGTCCAAATGATTAGCTTAGCAGATAAATCCAACTCCTGACTCTCGCCCTGCTGCCCGTGTGCGGATGGAACAAGGACACCTTTCTTCCTGAGCTTCTCTGGCTCTGCTCCTGAGACCACAGTAGCTGTGAAAGCCTCCTTGAGAGGAGGGGCGGACGGAAGTCATAAATCCCTTCCCCTCACTGCAGTGGTCCCCTGTGAAGAATACAGGCCTATGAGAAAGTGCTAGCCTCCGGGGATGAGACAAAGAGATACTTGTAAGAATAAAATAGGCAAGTGAGTGCTGGAAGCAGAAAGAAGTCGGAGTAGCTGCCTTCCCAACATAAAAGTGACCGTGTCGCTGCAGCCGCAGAGGGCGCAAAGCAAACGGGTCTGGAGGAAGTCAGAATGAGGTTCCTGAGATCATGGTTGTGCTGGATGCCAGCGGCTCACATCTGCAATCCTGGCTACTCAGAAGGCTATGTTCTGAGGGCTCCAGTTCAAACCCAGGTTGGACAACAGAGCCTATGCAACTTTTTTTTTTGGCCAGTCCTGGGGCTTGAACTCAGGGCCTGGGCACACACTGAGCTTCTTTTTGATCAAGGCTAGCACTCTACCACGTGAGCCACAGCACCACTTCTGGCTTTTTCTGTGTATGTGGTACTGAGGAATCAAACCCAGGGCGTCATGCATGCTAGGCAAGCACTCTACCACTAAGCCACCTTCCCAGCCATGTGAAACTCTTATCTCCAGCAAAAAGCCAGAAGTGAAGGTGTGGCTCACGTGATAAAGCACCAGCCTTGAGCAAAACAACTAAGGAATAATACCCAGACCCTGAGTTCAAGACCCAGGACTGGCACATGCATGTGCACACGCGCACACACACGCTCATACACACAAATAATGGTCAAATGAGCTGGGGACATCTCTCAGAGGGCAGACCCAAAATGTGGCAGCAGGGCAAAACAAGCGGCAGCGCAGCGCGCACACACGCAGTGCCTGCAAGAAAGCAGGGTCCACTCCTGCTTCTGTCTTTCAAGCTGGTTTCCAGTAGCAAGTTGAAGACGTGCACAGGCAGGGTAGGAAACGCACCTGAATGTTGACAAACACGCCATGGTAGGTCTCATACAGGACCTTGTTCCCCTTCACGTGCAGAGGAAACTCGAAGGGAATCTCCGTCTTCCCGCTGGGAAACTTCCCTGGCTTCACCATTTCTATGGTGCTGGTGATAATCTGGATTGGCTGTAAACAAAAATCAACTCAGCCCATCAGTGTGCATGTGCCAACTGTCTGCCTGAAGCTCCGGCCTGAGCCCCAGACGCTGCCTTCCTGGTGCTTCAGCAGCAATCCGGTTCCATCTGGTAAGTCTCTGGCACGATGGGGGTCATTTCTAGTGATGGGTCTGAGGTGCTTGTGCCCAGTAGAAAGTGATCTCACACAAGCACCTCCCTGAGCCATGCCAACACCCCCACTGCATAACGAGGGCCCCCCTTGGGTCCCCCCTTCCTTTCCCCTCCCTCTCCCACCCCAACCGGGCCAGAAGGCCTGCGGTCCGGTCCTCCTCCCTGCCCGCTGCAGAGACACAAGCGTCCCAGAACCTGAGCACAGCGCTGCTGCTCGGCCCTCCTCACTCAGGGTTGACATGGCCTTCGGGAAAAGGAAACCATAACTTTAGAAGAGCTTTCTGGAACACTAAACTCCACACAAATTGACAAAAGACCTGCTTGCCTTAATGTCAGTTTGACAGGGGACCAGCTAATAAATAGCAGATTTGATGGAAGAAGACAAAGACACAGCCACAGCTACAACTTCTCAGAAGAGTTCTAGTCTTTTTGTGTGTGTGTACCAAGACCTGAGGCTTGAACTCAGAGCCTGGGTGCTGGCCCTGAGCTTTTGTGCTCAAGGCTAGCCCTCTACCACTTGAGCCACAGCTCTACTTCTGGCTTTTTGGTGGCTAATTGGAGATAAGAGTCTCATGGACTTTCCTGCCCAAGCTGGCTTCAAACTGCGATCCTCAGATCTCAGCCTCCTGAGTGACTAGAACTCTAGGTGCAAGCCACTAACACTCAGAAAGCTCTGCTACTTTTAATGGCCAATTAATTCACTTATTCACCTCGTCGCATGTGTCAAGGAGGAATATACAGAAACAGGGCTTGAAATAAAGGTGCATTTAGAAACAAAGCATGACTTTTGGGGTTGATAGCATGAGGGCTATTTATCCCTTGCAAATTAAAACAGACAGCAATAAAAAGGGAGTATAGCTGGGCAACAGAAGCTCATGGCTGTAGTCCTAGCTACACAGGAGGCTGAGATCTGAGGATCGCGGTTCAAAGCCAGCCCAGGCAGAAAGTCTCTGAAACTCTTATCTCCAATAAACCACCAGAAAACTGGAAGTAGCACTGTAGCTCAAGTAGTAGAGCGCTCACCTTGAGCTGAAGAGCTGAGGGACAGTGCCCAGGCCCAGAGTTCAAGCCCCATGACAAAAAAAAAAAAAAGTTCAAAGCCAGTCTGGGCAGAAAAATCCCTTCACTTTTTGCTCAAGGCTGGTGCTTTCACTTTTTTTTTATTTCCAATTAACCATCAAAAAGACAGAAATGGAGCTGTGGCTCAAGTGGTAGAGAGCCAATCTTGAGGAAAAAAGCCACATGAGAGGATGAGGCCCTAAGTTCAAGACCCAGTATGGCACATCCACACAAATAAACCAAGAAATAAAAGCAAGTGCGACAGCGAGTCTTCTCACCTTCGCAGAATTGTAAAATGCTTCGAACACGCCGACGCTTTTGGCACTGAGCTGGAGGTTCACGGTTCCTTCCATGGTCAGAAACACGCCCTGGTGCTGCACGGGATCCTTGCTGGAGATGACCACCACGCCCGACAGCATTTCCTGCGAGACAACATGGCCTCTGACTAGAGCAGCTCGGTTATGGAAACGAAGTGTCCTTGGCGCCTTCAAGGAATGGGCCGTGAACTGTGACACTGAGTGGGGCTGGAGAAGCCCCGCCCCTGGGAGCAGTGGGCGCCCACTCACTGCTGTGGACACGCCAAGGAGAATGGGGGGGGGGGTAGATTTTTGCCCCATCCCTGCCTTCCACCCTGCACCTTCATCTCAGGCTGGGAGAATTCCAACTGCTACCCCCGTCCCAAGGGCCCAAGGATGTCTGAGTCCCCGTAGTGTGCTCAGTGTGAAGTGACACATGGCATTCATAGTGTCCCTTCAGAGGGAGCTGCGGAAGTAAGAGTCTCATGGACTTTTCCTGTGTGCTAGCATCAACGTCCTCAGTGGCTCAGGCCTTTAATCCCAGTTACTCCAGAGGCTGAGATCTGGAGGGTCATGGTTGGAGCCAGTCAAGCTCAGGCAGTAAAGTCCACCAGAATCCACCTCCAACTAACCCACAAACAGCCAGGATGGTGGCACAGGTCAGGTGGGGGGGTGCCAGCTGAGCACATGGCTGGGCAGGTAGAGGCCTCGAATTCAAGCCCTAGTGCTACCAAAAAGGAGAGGAGGAAGGATGAGCAAAGGCATAGAAAAAAACTAACTCATGGGCTACAATCTCAGCACCAGACAAGACTCAACTCAGAGAATCAAGGCATCAACAAGGGACGGGGACAAAACAAGTCTAAAGCGTGCAACCACAGAAACAGGGTCTGTCTATGGCCAAGACTACTGCATAAACGCACACACAGCACTTGAGTGGTGGAAGCAGCCAATCTGACACTCTACTCTTAAACCACGAATAGAAAAGCAGACAGAAAGCACAGAGATAGACGACGTCACTGACGCAGCAGCCAATGACAATCTGGTGTTGCATGCAGAGCTCTTCTAGGTGCGTTACCCTGAACTTTACTTCAGAGGGTGCTGGTCTCGTTCTGTCCTTCCTGGGGACAGCAATACAGCGAGAGGAGAGAAAGGCCAGCACCCACCAATACAGCAGGGGGTGGGAGGGCCAGCACCCACCAATGCAGCAGGGGGTGGGAGGGCCAGCACCCACCAATGCAGCAGGGGGTGGGAGGGCCAGCACCCACCAATGCAGCAGGGGGTGGGGCGGGAGGAGAGGCCAGCACCCACCAATGCAGCAGGGGGTGGGAGGGCCAGCACCCACCAATGCAGCAGGGGGTGGGAGGGCCAGCACCCACCAATGCAGCAGGGGGTGGGGCGGGAGGAGAGGCCAGCACCTACCAATGCAGCAGGGGCGGGGGGCAGCACCCACCAATGCAGCAGGGGGTGGGGCGGGAGGAGAGAGAGGCCAGCACCCACCAATGCAGCAGGGGGCGGGGGCCAGCACCCACCAATGCAGCAGTGGGGCAGGGGGCCAGCACCCACCAATGCAGCAGTGGGGCAGGGGGTGAGGGAGGCCAGCACCCACCAATGCAGCAGGGGGCGGGGGTGAGGGAAGCCAGCACCCACCAATGCAGCAGGGGGTGGGGGTGAGGGAGGCCAGCACCCACCAATGCAGCAGGGGCGGGGGTGAGGGAGGCCAGCACCCACCAATGCAGCAGGGGCACAGGGGGGTGAGGGAAGCCAGCACCCACCAATGCAGCAGGGGGTGGGGGTGAGGGAGGCCAGCACCCACCAATGCAGCAGGAGCGGGGGTGAGGGAGGCCAGCACCCACCAATGCAGCAGGGGCACGGGGGGGTGTGTGAGGGAGGCCAGCACCCACCAATGCAGCAGGGGCACGGGGGGGTGAGGGAGGCCAGCACCCACCAATGCAGCAGGGGCGGGGGTGAGGGAGGCCAGCACCCACCAATGCAGCAGGGGGTGGGGGTGAGGGAGGCCAGCACCCACCAATGCAGCAGGGGCGGGGGGTGAGGGAGGCCAGCACCCACCAATGCAGCAGGGGGTGGGGGTGAGGGAGGCCAGCACCCACCAATGCAGCAGGGGCGGGGTGAGGGAGGCCAGCACCCACCAATGCAGCAGGGGGCGGGGGTGTGTGTGTGAGGGAGGCCAGCACCCACCAGACTGCTGCATTCAGGCACCAGAGTCCAGGACAGGCAGTGTACCAAGGAGAACACTGGGAAGAGACTAACCCAGCCAACTGCTGGGCCTGTACTTTTTGGTTTAAATCTTCTAGTAATGCCTGTAATCCAGCTACTCAGGAGGCAAAGATAGAAAGGACCATGATTTGAGGCCATGAAAAAGTTATTAAGAGCTCATCTCAACCAACAAAAGGGGTGCAATGGTATAGTCCAGTCATCCCAGCTACTCAGGAGGCTTTAGACAGGAGGACTGCAATCTGAGGCTACCCGGGAGGTTGTATCTGAAAAATAACTAAAGCAGCTGCACGCTGGTGGCTCATGCATGTAATCCTAGCTACTCAGGAGGCTGAGATCTAAGGCTCTCGATTCAAAGCCAGCCCGGGCAGGAAAGTCTAATAAGACTCTTATCTCCAGTGAGCCACCAGAAAACCAGAAGTGGAATGGTGGCTCAAAGTGGTAGAGTGCTACCCCCGAGCAAAAAGACTTCAGGGAGAGCAGGGAGGCTCTGACCTCAAGCCCCACTACCATCCCCAACCCCCCCAAAAAAGAGACTAAAGCAAAACTCTTGAGTTAAACCCCAATTCCACTAAAAATATATTTTTTAAAGTTCTCCTCTAGGAAGTGAAAAGCTTTGAGGCCTCTATGAGCAGCATTACTACAGTCCACCTTGAGGTGGACTCAGCCTTTAAGGCTTGCCACAGGCCTAAGGACACTGGTAAGGAAAACCTGCAGCCCACTGGGTCTGGCCGTTACTACAGCCACCTGTGCCAGCATGGGGGGGGGGGGGGGGGGCGTGGGGAATGGCCTCATCCCAACAGAGCAGCTCTGCTGTGTTCTGCCTAGAAATGACTTTAGTGACACTACAGCAATAAAAAACCCCCTATTAGAATTGCTTAGGCCTCCACTTACTAAATGTCAGGGCTTCAATTACCTTTGAGCAATCTTATCCTAAACAGCGCTCTCTTTCTGGAGCTATTTACAAGGAAATACTCATTTTAACATACAAGAGGGAAGGCAAGCACAGTTTACACTGCCTTGAGAAGGAAACGGTGTCAGAGCGGGATCTTTTCTGCTACAGGTAAACGCATCAAGAAAAGTGTGTACAGGAAGTGGCGCTGTAGCTCAAGTGGTAAAGCGCTCGCCTTGAGCTGTGCCCAAGCCCAGAGTTCAAGCCCCACAACCGACAAAAAAAAAAGTTATGAAAAGTGTGTACACTACAGACCATTACAACTGCAAAGAAGTCTTCCTTCCAATGAAATTCCTTTTTTTTGGGGGGGGGGGGGAGGGGTCCGGTCTTGGGGCCTGAACTCTGGGCCTGGGCGCTGTCCCTCAGCTCTTCAGCTCAAGGCTAGTGCTCTATCACTTGAGCCACAGCGCCACTTCCGGCTTTTTTTTTCTGCTTATGTGGTGCTGAGGAATCGAACCCAGGGCCTCATGCATGCAAGGCAAGCACTCTACCACTGAGCCACCTTCCCAGCCCCCCAATGAGGTTTCTTTAAAATCCTTCACATGGGCTGGGAAGGTGGCTCAGTGGTAGAGCGCTTGCCTTGCATGCTTGAGGCCCTGGGTTTGATTCCTCAGCACCACATAAGCAAAAAGCCGGAAGTGGCACTGTGGCTCAAGTGGTAGAGCGCTAGCCTTGAGCTGAAGAGCTGAGGGACAGCGCCCAGGCCCAGAGTTCAGGCCCCATGACCAGACCCAAAAAAAAAAAAAGAAATCCTTCACATATTCATATGAAAAATCACTGTCAGGCCAGGTGTCAGTGCTCACACTTGTAACCCTAGCTACTCAGGAGGCTGAGATTGGAGACTGCAGACAGGAGAGTCCATGAGACTCTTTAACTCCAATAAACTACTCAGGAAGAACTAAGTGAGGCTGTGGCTCAAGTAGTAGGTAGGGCACTAGCCTTGAGCAAAAGCGGCTCAGGGACAGTGGCCAGGCCCTGAGTTCAAGCCCCAGGACCAGTCCCCTCCCCCCCTCCGCCAAAAAAAAAAAAAGAGAGAAAAAGACTGACAGGACAGAGTCACGGTCCTTTCTTTTTTCTTTGTGGAAATGTTTACATTTTCCATTTTTATATCACAAATTCAAGTTAAGTCCTAAAAATATGTCCTAAAAATATGACCTGGAAACAGCTGCTCTAGAAAATGCTCTGTGAAGCAAGAGGAACCGCGGCCGGCATGTTTGGCCAGTGCAGCAACCTGGCAGAGGCCACACGCGGCAAGGCCACGCGGGGTAGAGGCTCTGGAGGTCCAGCCGGCCTCCCTGCAGTTCTTCCTGAGGCCGCCCTCTGAGGCTCAGGCCCGGCACAGCTGGTGCAGATGTAACTGCTCTCCTGGAGCCTCCCGGAGGGGAATCGGGTCAGCCTGGAAAGCCCCTGGAGTCTATAGGAAAATACAGTAAAAGAGGGCTAAGGAAAAAGGGAGTGAAGCGCTACCTGGAGCTGGGGCTTACCAACTCCTCATGTGTAGCTGCAATGGGAAGGGAGAAGAAATAAAGAGGTAGCTTCACCTTGAACTTGGGACTGGGCCCTGCTGAGAGACGGGCAGGGAAGCCTGGAGAGAAGGGAGCTGAGGGGCGGCAGTGAAGGGTCGCTCACTCCTAGCAAGGGCACGCGCTCCAGGCAGGCCGAGCACTGGGCACCTGCCAAGAAGCTCTCCCCCCAAGGTGGCTGGGCAGGGGCACAGCTGGGCTCTGCGCACACAGCCTGGAGTGCTGAATGAAGGAGAGCCAGGCAGAATGGGGAGGGGAGGACCCCAACCTGCCTGAGCTGCCGCAGCAGGATGGCGTGGAAGGTGTGGTCTGGTTTCGGGGCACAGAGTGGACCTGCTGGATGACCCAGAACAGAATCCAGGGTGAGGTAGGACAGGAGGAAGGCAGAAGAAAAGCAGCCACCCTGGCAGAGGTCCTGGCAGGGGAGGAAACGGGAGGGGCAGGGCAGGGGCAGGGCAGGGGCAGAGGCTGTCTGGTGCAGGTGCAGTTAGGACACACAGGATGGGGGAGGGGCGGGGCAGAAGGGCTCCTGAAGCTACAGGAACAATTGCTGCATCCACACCTCCGACAGACAGCTGCGGCGCGCGGACACTCCTTCATGCCTTACATAAGGCTTAGACTGTGATTTAGGAGATGAGTCTTTTTCTGGAATATTAGGTTATAAGTGGAAAAAGACAGCCTTTTACAAGTTTAGATGATGGTGCTTCCTAAAAGGCTCATGACCCCGAGTTGCCTTGAGACCCCTCCCAGCTCAAAGACCCCACGCCCTGACCGCATTGGCTTCTCATTGTTTTAGCAAGAATCCAGTGGGACACAGCATAGTTAGGCCTTTGTAAAACAGCACTTGAGCGTTGCAATTTTTCTTCATAATAATGAGCTGCTAGGTACAGAGCTTCTCTTTATTTTTTTTAACAAGAAATCACATGCACGCCAAACATAACAACATGCAGGTTTTGCGGTAAAACAATCACCCTGTGGTAGATAAATCCCTTGTTACTATAACCTGGCCATGCTAGGGTGTAAATCTTATATATGAATTTCACAACCACAATATTTAACAGTGTCACTTTCATGAGTGTGTGCACCACACTGAAGAAAGTAAAACACAGCAAATTCCTAAAAATAAATGAATTATATTACATTACAGAAAGATTGACGGCAGAGTCCTTTTAACCAGGAAGTGCTCTCTGTACAACAAAGAAACAAACTGTTTGATCAAGAACACATTACTGGGGCTGGGAAGGTGGCTCAGTGGTAGAGTGCTTGCTTTGCATGCCTGAGGCCCTGGATTCAATTCCCCAGCACCACCTAAGCAAAAAGAAAAAAGCCGGAAATGGCGTTATGGCTCAAGTGGTAGAGCGCTAGCCTTGAGCTGAAGAGCTGAGGGACAGCGCCCAGGCCCAGAGTTCAAGCCCCACAACCGGACCCAAAAAAAAAAAAAAAAGAACACATTACTGCACCACTCAAGAAAACGCAGCTTCCAGGCAGGGCCAGAAATACTATCACATCTCTGTGTTCTTTGGTCCCCACCAGCCCCTTCCTCCAAGTACACAGCAGACAGGTGTCCATCTGATACTGCACTGTGGATGCCTGCATGGCCGATGGACAGTTCTGAAGGCCAGCAGACTTCAAGGGTGGGTACGGAGAAGATAGAGCAAGGCGACCACTGCCGAGTGAGTGACTGATGTGGGCCCGGGTCTGTGGCTGGGGTCCTGACACATACTCTCAACAGATCCTCAAACACAGCCTGAGACCCTGAGAAGGCACACTGGGGCCGGGACTTGGGAATTCTTACCCAGGTTTCTCTGGCCCTCAGCATTCCTAACGCTGTCCCTGAGCTCTTCAGCTCAAGATGAGCACTCTACCACTTGAGCCACAGCTCCACTTCTGGTTTTCTTGTGGTTTTACTGGAGATAGAGTCTCACGGACTTTCCTGCCCAGGCTGGCTTTGAACCGCGATCCTCAAGATTTTTCAGCCTCCTGAGTAGCTAGGATTACAGATGTGAGCCACTGGTGCCCAGTGGAAATGTATTTTTTAAATACATTTTTTAAGGAGATGACAACTTAACCAAACAGCTAATTTTTAAAGTTTAAAAATGGGGTTAAGCCAGGCCCAGAGTTCAAGCCCCACAACCAACAAATCAACAACAACAACAAAATGAAAAATGGGGCTGAAGACTACAGAGAAAATCTATGGGAGACAGAAGTAACATTTCAAAGAGATAAGCCAAGTCACACTGACAAATTGCTGGCCCCTCCCATGTGGTGAACATGGGTGGCTGTGAGCCTCTGAATGCGCTCTGACTGTCCCCCAGGTGTCCACAGGTTCTGGTTCAGTTTGCCCTGGGTCATCTCCATTCCTCCCGACTGAAGCCAACAGTGCTGAGGGCCATGGACATTCTAGCCTACACTTCATTTCAAAGTTGGGGTGCTCCAGAGTCCCCAGAAATGACGACACCCTGCTTTATGCTCCTCATACCTCATAGATACGCTACTTCCAGCATTTCATCGTCTTATTTTATATATCTTCCTGTCTTTATTGACCTTCAGCCCTATAGAAATTAACCAACAATGGTGGAATGAATGTTATATACTAAACAATGTAAAGAAAGAATGCCATTGATGAGTATGTTTGGTGTGAAAAGTCTCCCAGATAAACTCAGTGTTAAGCATAGCACATGTGCATATATATGCTTGGCATCCATACCTCTGCTTGGGAGACAGAAAGGGAGGAGAGGAAGGGGATTTCCCCTTTACATTCATCTTACATGGTACACATTATGTTTGTATATATTGTATATATTATGTGTGTATACACACACACACACACACACACAGTTTTTTGTCATTGGTGGGCCTTGAACTCTGGGCCTGAGTGCTGTCGCTCAGCTCTTCAGCTCAAAGCTAGTGCCCTACCACTTGAGCCACAGCGCCACTTCCAGTATTCTAAGTGGTTTATTGGAGATAAGAGTCTCACAGAATTTCCTGCCTGGGCTGGCTTTGAACTGCAATCCTCAGATCTCAGCCTCCAGAGTAGCTAAGATTACAGGTGTGAGACACCAGCGCCCGGCTTGTTTGTATATTTTTTAATGACTCAACTGGAACTTAAAATTTTTTATCAAACAGAAATTTTGTCCAGGAAAAAAAAAAACTAAATATCAATGTTAAATTCCAGTCCAGAGAATCAAAAACCACCTCCACTGCTCCCATAACTAAAAGGAAAAAAAGCACAACCACAGACTTTGCATGCTTTCAGAATACAAGTATCATCCGTCTTTTTTTGTTTTGACTTAGCAAGTCATTATTTTTGCCCCTCCTAAAAAATGATTAACAATCATGTGCATGTTACCAATTCCCCTATTTGGGACAAAACAGCTCTTGGGGAGCAGTGTCTCCTGCGGGATGGGAACCTGACTGGCTGACCAGACACCTCACCCTGTCTAGGCCTCAGTGTCCTCATCAGAAAAGTGGGAGGTGCTGGCTGCCACAAGCCTGAAACCAGATCATACATGTAATCCTAGCTATTCAGGAGGCTGTGGTTCAAAGCCAGCCCAGGCAGGAAAGTGAATGAGACTCTTATCTCCAAATAACTACCATAAAGCAGGAAGTGGAAGTGTGGCTCAACTGGGAGAGCACTAGTCTTGAATGAAAAAGCTCCAGTACTAGCATGCACTTGCACAGGCACTCACACACACGTGCATGCACACACATGTACGTGCACACACACAAGGGCACACACACTAAAACAAAATGAAGTCACGGGTCCTAATGTCTTCTGGGACATAAGATAGCTCATTGTGGTCACAGAACAAATACAGCTCGCTTGAAGGAACACCATTCTAGCTCCAGGCCAGGACACTGTTGCATGAGCTCAGGTTAATATAACAAACAGCTCAAGCAAACCGTGCGAATTACAGACACTAATCAGTAAGTGAAATGGTTAGTGACTAATCTTGACCAGTACTACTGAGGCCTACAGAGAAGATGAGATGGAAATTCTGTAGGCCATCAGCTTCATCTGCAGCCAGCTAAAGATGAAAGAGAGGTCCTGCCAGCCATGGTGCAGGGAGTATAAACTCCCCTTAGGCACCAAGGTTTCATCAGGTGACCAATGATGGTCTTGTCCTCTGGGGCCTGGGAGGCACCCATGACAGCACCAGCAAGCCCAGGCCCTGCAGGGCAGATCATGAGAACCAGTGGCAGAGTTTTGTCAGTTGATTAGATATATTGGTTAGTTATTTTCTTCTTGTCTTTGAACACACACGAACACACACACACAGAGTAAATATCAGAAACAGAAATTAGGCAAGTTTTTCTTCTAGAATCAACATTTAAGGTCTTCTTTCATTTTTTAATTTTTATTAAGTATTTTTGGCAGTACCTGGGTTTTGAACTCAGGGCTTCATGCTTAAAGTGTTCTACCACAGGAGTCATGACTCTGGGCTTTTTATGTTAGATTTCTGTGCTGGTCCTGAGCTTGACCTTTCAGGGCCTGGGAGCTGTCCCTGAGCTTTTTTCTCAAGCGCTCTACCACTTGAGCCACAACTCCCGTTCCAGTTTGTTTTGGTGGTTAACTGAGGGTCAGAGCCTCACGGACTTTCCTGCCCGGGCAAAGCTTAATGACTTGTTAGCTTTTACAAACTGTTGGTATCGTGTGGCAGTGGAGACTGAACTCGGCCTAGGACTTTCCAGGCAAGCGCTCTGCTCCACCACTGACCCACGCCCCCAAGCTGGAAGCTTTCACGCTTGGACTAGCATCCTAACATGCCAAACCTGCCCAGAAAGAAGCCAGCTTCTGCACGGCGTTGGAAACGCTCGCGGCCTCAAGCAGGCTGCCATCAGACGAGCACACTTGTGCCTCTGCCTTCCGTTCATCCGACCCGCGCAGCTCCGACTGCGGCCCCCGCAGGCCCAGGCCGCGGCGCGACCCGCAGACGCGCTCCGTGGGGGCCAAGGGGCAGAAAGCAGGGGGGCGCCCGGCGGGGCCGCACCTGCCCCGCCCACAACCGTGCAGACGCTGGCACTGCGGGCCAGGACCCCTCCACTCACCCCGGCGTGGTACACCTTATTCGCTCTTTTAATCTTGATGTCCAGTGAGGTCCCCATGCCGGAATCGCCGCGGAGTCCCCACTTCCGGCCGCGAGAGACCCGAGCGGCAGGCCGCCCCGCCTCCCGCCCGGGCCCAGCCCCTTTCCCTCACCGTCGCGCAGCGAGGGCACGTGACCTCTCACGTCCGCCCTCCGGACGTCGGGTCCACTCGGCCTGCGCGCCACGCCCTTCTCCTTCCGGCGTAGGGGTGGGCCTTTGAGGCGCAGACAGATTCACCTCCCTTCCAGGCCCTCCCCCCGCCCCGTCCCTCTTCTCGCCGGACGTGGGGGCGGGATGAGACTAGCTCCACCCCTTCCGCAAGGATAGCCGGAAATGCCCCTCTTCTCGTTTACGGAAAACCCGTGTTTCTCCCAGCGTGCCCCGCGGTAGCGGGTGGGGCCGAGACTGTCTCGCGGGCGCTGGCTGCGCAGGAAGGTGGAGCTCCCGTCAGGCTGTGCGGCGCCTAGGGGCTGCGCTGTGAAGGCAGCCTTCGGGAGGCTGTAACTTGAGAACGCGTCCCCTTCTCACAGCGTCCTCCTCCTTCACCTCTACCCTGGGCTTCCTTCGGGGCAGCTCGCCCTGTGCCCGTCCTCCCTGTGGGAGAGGTCTGGTCCGCCGCAGGGGCGGGGCACCGCGCGCGCGCGCGCGCGCGCCTGCTGTGGGCACGCCGATTGGCTGGCTGCGGTCCCGCCCCCGGCGGGCGGCCAAGGTCTCGGGGAGCGCGGGGTGACCTCGCTCCGCGGCTGGCCGCCGCGCTGCGTCACTCGGCCGGGCCCGCGGTCGCGGGGGCTTGTGGGTACTTCCCAGGCGCGTGTCCTGGAAGCCGGTGCTGGGTGCAGGGTGCCGCGCCTGCACCGCCCGCTGGGCCGGGGGGGGGGGGGGGGGCGTGGGGGGTGAAAGGCGGGATTCGGAGCGGGAACCGGCCCGCCGCGCGCGCTCTGTGCCCGGCGGCCCGGGCAGCCTCGCACCCCACTCACCGAGATGGACTCTGCCGCCAGTGTCTGTCCACACAAGCCCAGAGGCAGTCACGTGTCCCTGCGTCGCGGGGCTCCGCCGCCAGGTCTTCCTCCTGGCACTCACTCACCGCAGGTTCTCTGCGGAACGGGTGCACGCGCTGCTGTCGCGGGTGTGAGGGGGCCCCGGGCCCGCAGGGATGGTGCCGTAACTGCAGGTGCTTTGCGAGGTTAATGAGTGCGGAATTTCCCCGCGTTCGGGTCTGCTTTCAGCTCCGCTGCCCTGAGGGCTTCGCCGGGTCCTGCCGGTCCTGCGGGTCTTCCAGCCGCTCAAACGAGGGAATTGTAAAAGAATCTGACGTGGGATGTAGGCATCCGTCTATCTGCAATTCAAGAACTGGACAGATTCCCTCGGCTTGCCACCCAGCATTTCCAGCTGGTAAAAACATCACTCTCAGATGTCACCATGCAGAAGGGCGGAAAAAAGCACGTATCTGCATTCCAGGCTTTTATTTTTACGTTAGGAAATTCGTCTCTCTCCAGGACAGGTGTGCTGAGCTTCACACCTCTGAGGTTTTGCACAATAATTGTGGAAGATAGTGCTGTGTAAAAACAAAACAAAAACCCTCATTCCAGCAATTTGCATAGTCTGGAGCCTTCCTCAGGCAATGGCTTCCAAACAAAATAGTCCATTTTTCCTCAATTCCTTCTCTTAAAAAAAAAAAAAAATTGTTTCCATCCCTGATCTCATCTTGGTGATGCCTTAAGTTTTAACCGATTTCAATTATTAAAACCAAACTGCCAAAATGTCAATCCTAAGGCTTAAAGAGAAATCCTAGATCCTTAGTGGAGGTCTGACCGTGTGAGTTGTGGTTCTGGCTCTCACCATCAGAATGCCCACTAGTGGGAAAGTCCGTAGGAAATAATAAAAACACCAAATAGTTCTTTTCTCTCAAAAGACATAAATTTTTTTTTTGGGGGGGGGGTCACTTGTGGGGCTTGAACTCTGGACCTGGGCCCTGTCCCTCAGCTCTTCATCTCAAGGCTAGCGCTCTACCACTTGAACCACAGCATCACGTCTGTTTTTTCTGCTTATTTGGTACAGAAGAACCAACTCGGCCTCATGCATGCAAGCCAAGCATTCTACCACTGAGCCACCTTCCCAGCCCAAAAGATATAAATTTTATTGTAAACTTGAAACATGGAAGACTGGTGTGAAGCCAGTCACTGGTGGCTCATTCCTGTAAATCCTACCTACTCAAGAGGCTAGATCTGAAAATAAGCAGCTTGTTGTTGTTTGTTTTTGGCCAGTCCTGGAGCTTGAACAGAAGGCATGGACACTGTCCCTTAGCTTTTGTGCTCAAAGCTAGTGCTCTACCACTTTAAGCCACAGTTTCATTTCAGGCTTTTTGATAGTTAATTGGAAACAGAGATATATCTGTAGCTTTTTATTAAGCTTTTTATTGGAGAAATAGCCCCAGTTATAGGCACCTGCCACTGAAAGGATATAGACTGTGTTTGCCAGATTCTATTATTAGCTTAGCCAATTCTAGGACAATAGGACAATTCCACTGAACATGTGTCACGGTGCTGTGGTTCTCTACCTTTAGGACTGAAGGACTTGATCTCCTGAGGTGTTGGGAGTAGTGCTTTCAACAGCTCTCAACTAAGTCATTTCAAAATGTGCCCTTGGCTGAACCCAGCCATCCCCATGCTCCCTACTAGAGTGTACCCCATGTCTGATGACTCATTGGCTTAGGATATGAAACTGCTCCTCCCTGACCCAGTTCCAGCTAACTCTGAAAGAGCATTCAAAAGTTCCAACACTCGGGGCTGGGAAGGTGGCTCAGTGGTAGAGCGCTTGCCTTGCATGCCTGAGGCCCTGGGTTCCATTCCTCAGCACCACATAAGAAAAAAGCCGGAAGTGGCGCTGTGGCTCAAGTGGTAGAGCACTAGCCTTGAGCTGAAGAGCTGAGGGACAGCACCCAGGCCCAGAGTTCAGGCCCCACAACCGGACCCCCCAAAAAAAAAAAAAAAGTTCCAACACTCCCTATATTAGTCATCAATTGCTGTGTATCAAATGACCCTAACATTTATTGGTTAAAAATAATGGACATTCATTAGATCATAATAATGAAAAGTGGGTCAGGAACTCTGGACAATAGCGTGGTTCTGGCTCAAAGTCAAGGTAGTTTGTATCAGGATGTTGGACAGGGCCACAATCTCATAGAAACAATTGGCATCACCTCACCTACAAAAGGGGAAACCAAGGTACGAATTGATTAATGTACTTCCCTAAGCTGGCAGGTACCCATTCTGACTCTAGAGGTGACCCTGGCAGTGCCCAACCACTGTGATACACATGCAAGACAGTTACTTGAATGCAGAGGGGCTGGAGAGATCTCAAGTAAAAAATTGGACAATTAGGGCTGGGAAGGTGGCTCAGTGGTAGAGTGCTTGCCTTGCATGCATGAGGCCCTGGGTTCCATTCCTCAGCACCACATAAGCAGAAAAACTTGGAATTGGCGCTGTGGCTCATGGTAGAGCGCTAGCCTTAAGCTGAAGAGCCGAGGGACAGCACCCAGGCCCAGAGTTCAAGCCCCACGGCCAACCAAAAAAATAAAAATAAAAAGCTCTCTCAGGCCCCATTTCAGGCCCAGTACTGGCACACACACCAAAAAAAAAAAAAAAAAATCAAAGGGCTGCCGATCAAAGGTGAAAGTAAGCAAAGACTATTTTAAACTAATGAATAGAGGACAGTTTAACATCCAGATAATGAAGACAGAATGTTACAGTGCAGAACAGCTCAATGAATTAGTTTGCCAGGTCAGCCAGAACAAACTATGTAGCTTAAAACAACAGATCCATTTCTCATGCTTCTGGAGTGCTGGGTTGGTTCCTTCTAAGAACTGAGGGGAAGATCTCTTCTAGGCCTCTCTCATTGGCTGTCTTCTCTGTCTCTTTGCAAGGTCACATGGCATTGTTCCTTGCACTTTTGGTAAATACACTGCTTATATTTCATTTGGATACACACTAATGACATCATTTTGACTTGACTATTTCTATAGAGCCTACACCCAAATAATACACCTTTCTAAAGTACTGAGAGTCAGAGCTTGAATTTGTCATGAACACAATTCCAAGGAGTATATGTAGCAACAAAATTTATGTAACAAAAACATTAGACACGATAAACAAATGCAGCAGTGGTAGTCACTAGACACTATGTTGAAAATATGGGTAGAGAAGGGAAGAAGAAACTGGAGAAAGCTAAGGACAATGTCCAAATAGAAATGTACTTAGAGCCAGGTGCCAGTGCCTCAAACTTATCATCCTAGCTACTCAGGAGGCTGAGATCTGAGGATCACGGTTCAAAGCCAGCCCGGGCAAGAAAGTCCGTGAGACTTATCTCTCATAAAACCACCAGAAAACTGGAAGAGGTGCTGTAGCACAAGTGGTAGAGCACTAGCCATGAGCTGAAGAGCTCAGGGACAGCACCCAAGCCCAGAGTTCAAGCCCCACGACCGACAAAAAAAGAAAAAAAGAAATATACTTATTACCCTAAATATGAAACTGTAACCTCTCTACACATAGCCTTAACAATAACAATAAAACAAAACAAAACAGACATATAAAGAGAAATGGACAGGAAGAGTTGGTAGAAGATGTTAACACAGTATTAGAGATGAAGTGGTTAAAAAAAATGAAGATGCAGTTTACAAAGTAAATGGTATAATTACCAAATAAGATAGAATCACTGGAGTGAAGGGTAGCTTTCAGAAGTTTTGGCTGGGAAAAGGTGACACTCAAAACAGGTGTCCAACATGGCTGGAATGAGGTGATAGGGCTTGGACTTCCCTGCTTGTTCACTGTGCTCTATGAGTGCTTAAAGTCTATCACAGGAGATAAGCATATATAATAGGGTAGGATTTTTGAAATATAAGCTAGAGGAGTTTTTTGTTTGTTTGTTTAGTGCCTGTCCTGGGGCTTGAACTCAGGGCCTGGGCTATGTCCCTGAACTTCTTTTGCTAAAGGCTAGTGCTCTACCCCTTGAGCTACAGCTCCACTTTTGGCTTTTCCTGAGTGGTTTGTTGGAGGTGAGTCTCACAGACTCCTAACTGAGCTAGCTTCAAACCTT